GCGACTCAAGAGCACCAAACACAGGCAGTGAGAGAGGGTCGACCGGAGAGCCCACGAACACACATTCTTCTGCGTTGCTTATTCTTTACAGTTTCCCAAATGCCTAGTATGCTAATAGGTAGCCTATCTATTTGAGTGATTGACAAATAATGAAAACACAAAGTCATGTGCTACAATGACAAGATAGACCTGAAAAAATGTGTCCTTGGGTGATTTTATCCTTGTATGGCTGTCTAAGGGTAAAAATTACACGAGTCCACAGAGGCAGGGTAGGAGGAGGGGTATGGGGGGTGGGAGGGATACTGGGATCAGTGGTGGTAGAGAATGGGCATTGGTGGAGGGATGGGTACTAAATCATTGTATAACTGAAACCCAAGCACAAAAATTTGTAAGTCTACAACTATACCTCATGGTGTTTCACTAATAAAAAATTTTTAAAAATTACATGAATGCAGCCACAGAGCCTGTGACACACCTAGGCTGGATGGAATAGGGTGCTGGGACCACTGTCAAATACGTGCTTCTTCATCCTTGAGTGATGTCTGATTATAGTCTTGTCCCATGGTACAAAGTTCCTCTGATTAAAAGAAAGTACGTGGAGGGATAGGGAATGCCAGGGCTGTGTGGCAGAAACAATTTTAAAATCGGGGATGAGGGTAGAGTCATTGCTCACATTTGCCAGTAATCCGGTAGGCAGGCTGACGGGGGGGGGGGGGGGGAGGGGGGAGGGGTGGGAATAGGATGGATGCAACAGCAAGCACCAACTTGTGCTTTTGTTCAGCAAACAATAATCCTGTACTCCCCTGTGCTTGGAAAGTGTCTGATGCAGAGGAGAAATGCCCCTACAACCCCAGGGGAGGCACCATCCTCCACTTTCCACACGCCCGGCATCACTGGTCTGCTAGGCTGTCTCTGTGGTTGTCTGTCCTCTGCTTCTGGCTACCGCTTCTTGTGTACCCAGTGTACACCCAGTGTGTACCCAGTGTACACAATCACAGGAAAAGAGCGTCCTTTCTCTCTTTCCCACATTCCACAACTCCTCATCAGCCGATTTTGGCTACCTTGCAAGCTAACAGAGACCCTTGTGTTCTGCTCTCAGAAATCTCCCTGCTTCTGATCCTTTTTTTCCATGGGGGTTGAAATAGCCCCATATAGATTCTCTGGGATCATTCAGTCTCCACCAGACCTGGTTCCTCAGGTCTTTAGTGTCTCCTACAAGATCCCACAGTACAGGACAACTGACTTCCCCAGTGACTTTGGTTCTAGCTGCTTCCTGCTTGGTTAAGATTTCATGTGAGACAGAGCACCACTGGGTGCCAGGTCATGCACCAAGACCTTTTGATTGATTATGTTAATCAAGTCCTTGAAAAATGTAACTGTAGTTTCTTTCCTTCCACCTTCCTCTTAGGACCCAATTGCCTCAACTATACCTCAAAATTATCACTGTCACTCTCACTGTCCTCCCGTTGTTTATCAATTTACTTGAGTGGACCCAGTAATGTCTCATTGTGAGACTTGTTGTTACTGTGTTCGGCCTATCGAGTATGTCACGGAGAGCTTATCAGGCTTTGCCATGCGGGCAAAATATACTCAATAGCCTGCTGGGCTCTCCGGGAGGGGTCGAGGAATCGAACCCAGGTTGCCTGGGTTAGCCGCATGCAAGGCAAATGCCTTACCCACTGTGCTATTGCTCCAGCCCCCTCAAAATTATAAACAGTAATTTTCGATCTGATCAGAGCCAGGACACTCTCAACCTAAACCGAGCTTCTGGAAGGTCTTCACCTTGTGATTCAACTACTTGTGAATACAAAACTTTAAATAATGTTCTAATCACAAGTGATTTCTTGTCTATTTCAAAACTGAAATTATGCCCCCTCCCACCAATATGAGACGTATGGAACTTCTAGTAAGTGAAAGCATTTTCTTGCAGATGGGAAACAATTTTTTTTTCAAAAATAAGCACTTAACTGGGGAAAGTCAATAAATATGTCCTCATGAGTGTAAGACAACACTTTGCTCGAAGCTTTTAATTTTAATTCAACTTGAATAAGCTTAGCCTATCTTTATGCGTAGAAGCTGAAACGCAGAAAGAAGTTTTCTCTATCAGAGAAGGGAATGCAGCCTACTTTCCTCCACCGTAGTGCGCAGCTCTGGGAGGGCTCACATGCTTGTCAAGGGCAAACATGGGAAAGTCATGTGGCATTCTGCCTTCTGCAGGGTTGCAAACACCTCCAGGACCAGCTGCTAATGCAAGGAGCCAGCATCACAGTCCTCAAGTCTGTGCCACATCACTTTCACTCCAAGGCATCTGCCCCCATGTCAAACAGGCCACTGAAATCTGAGAGCCACAAACATATGGAATGGGCCCACCTGTTCCTCTTGAGCGAAGAGTTCCCAGGGGCTGACAGAGAGACCACAGAATTCTAGAACTCTCCAGATCCATCCACAGAGCTCACCTTGGTCACTTCCTCATTATGTGTCAGAGTGTTTCCAAATCACCTTGCATGAATTGCTTTACCTCTCTACCCTGTGTCAATTCTACTTCCGGGTGAGATAGTATGAACTCTCTAGTTCCTTGTGGTGTTCTGCGAATTAGATAATGTCCAAAAAATACTCAGAGCTCTTTAAAAAAAAGACTGCTCTATAAATAGAAGATAATCACAATTGCTTCGATAAATCAGTCCCAGACATAAATCAAACTCACACATTCCTGACTTGCAGCTTCATGAAGCTCTTCTTGAATGTTATAGTAAGCAGGGTCAAGTTGGACCCTCAAATAAATGGTTATTGCAGCAACTTGTAGACACCAGGAGTTGGGTCTGCAAACGTGTCAATTGCTTTAGTTCAAGCTAAATAATTCACATAACACAAATTTAATTGATTGTACAAATTAACTGAAATATTCTGAAGTACAGATTTAGCTTTTTTCCCTACTTGAGACTCGGAGGCAGCTCTGTATACACTAATTAAAGGTATTGAGCTAATAAAATTGAAATTTCACTTGAAAATGAAGGACAACTTATATGAATCCCGTTAGGCTCTGCTATTTCAGCTTGCCCTTTTCTAAACTCAGTCTGCATTACTCAAACCATATTTCTAAAAGGTTCTTAATATCTCTTACAACTCATTTGCTTTCCGTTGGATATTTTATTACCAAATAGTTCATGAAATATATTTATAACTTTTTTTTATTTGGGGGGTGAGTCATACCCAGTTGTGCTCAGGGACTACTGGCTCAGTGATCAGTGCTGAGCTCAGTGCTCCCAAGCTTGGTGCTCAGGAGGCTATATGCAGTTCCAGAGTCAGAGCCAGGTTTGGCCGCATGCAAGGAAAGCGCCTCAATCCTTGTACTCTCTCTCCAACTCTGAACTTGCACCTTTGAAAACTCACTAAAAAAAAAAAATGTACTCCTCCGAAAAACCTAACTGGTCCCACAAGTAAAAAGTGAGGCAGAGAATCAGGGAAGGTGGAAAACATCTAAGTACAAGCTCAGAATAATGAAAAGTTAGCCATCAGTTAAACTTGTTTTGCCTGCCCAGTTACCGTGAATTGATTCCCGTGCCAGCACAGATTCCAATTTCAATGTCGGTCTCTCCCCAAGAGTGAACCCTCGCTAAGGCTTTGTCTCCAGTCCTGCCTCTCATTCTCAGATCAGACACAGTTTCTGGCACAGAAGCAGCAATCTACACACCCTGCTGGGATGCATCTGCAGGTAATCACCAGCATTGTTGCTGAAAAGAAGTACCACTGGATGATACACACACAGGCATTTCTCTTCTTTCTCAGAACACATATTTTTGTGCCAGGAAAGCTGTACGCTATTCTATGTTCCATTCCTTCTGCTGATGACAGATCCAAACTTCACCTCTCATCGATTGCTTTCAATCTAACTGTTCAAATGAAATCTCCTGGAATATACATACATACAGACAGAAGTATAAAAAATAATGTATAGAAATGCACATGTAATGAGTATATATATATGTCGCAAACTATCATAATGTGTTTACTCAATTCTAGTGGCAATTGAAACAGATATTCAGCTGTATAGGATCCACCATGGAAAAGATGCCGAAGATTTAAAGAGCCACAGACTTATTTTAAAATCACAACTTAACATGAGACTTTTAGAATCAAGGGGCACACGCTGTCCACGAGCCCACGGAACTGCAGTTTCTCTTCCTGCAGGCAACTCTGGCTGCCTAATTGAATTGAAAACCCATCCTTCTATTTTTAATGCAGAGGGTTGAAAGAGCAGGACCGGAGATTTATTAAGCAAAAGCTATGTTCCCAGTCACAAACTGCACTAATAACTTGCATACAACACACTTTGCCAAGCGACTCTGCTCACTTCAGAGGGTCTTAATATAAACCCAACCCAGGTAAAAATCATTTACATAGATGGCACTCCATTTCATTAAGCAGATGACATGATTCAGCTTGGAACTTCACCTCTTATCAAGATGCTCCCCAAAGGGACGGCAGTGACGCATGCCTTTACCAAGGATGTTAAAGAAAATGTCACATTTCCCAGTATTTTTGTGCCTCTGAAAGCCGTTTCTGATTCAATATCAGAATTGAATTCGAAAACATTAAAAAGCAGAACCACCCATGACCGGAAAACACCGAATAAATTTTCAAGATGAGATCTCACCAGAAAGATACCAGACAACAATGTGTACTACTGCATCTCTGCGTTCAAAACTTTTCCTTGCATCCAGATTCCAGGAGAATATTCCCACTCTGGCAGTGCAAGTACCACTCTGCTTTGAGAACTGTGGGATGAGAGTCATTATCACGTATCAAGTATAAAAGTAACTTCTGCACTAGAGTCCTCTCTAAGCAGCAAGTCCAAATCTCTCCCGTTCTTCTGATCCACTGGCCAAGAAAAACCTAAGGAGCACACTGGTCCAAATGACACGAAATCTAAGTCTCTCTTCCCTGTGCTATGTCCCCTCAGCCCACATCCTCCTCCACACAGCACACACTTCATGGTTTACCTTTTAATTACTGGATTCTGTCAAGGGTCCTTCCTACTATATCCAGCAGGAATGCAAGATGATGCGAGTTCTTCAGTCCCGAGTGGCATTTGACTCCACTGCATGCAATCACTCAATGCAGTATGGATGAACGGGCCAAGTTCAGGTTCACTGCCCTACACTGTCTTTATTCCTGACAGCACATGACTAGTGAGCTAGCGAGCGTGGCTGCTGGTGATTAGTTCCTGGTATAACGAATGGGCAAAGCCTGTTGCCAAAAGCTCTTTACGGGCGCTTGGCTCACTCTCGCTGTGACAAAGTTAAAGCAGTAGCATTGATAAAGAACAAAAGAAAAACACAATACGAACTGCCTCTCTGGAGGAGCGTTCTCTTCCAGCGAAACATTCTCCCCGGAGGCTGGGGTACAACAGGTGAAGCCACTTACGAAGCCTTGGCATTTACTCCCCAGGAGAGCCCAGGAAAACCTGCATGGGTGCCTGCTTGATGCCTCTTTGCAAGGAGCTTTGGTGCTGCTTGAGGCCAGCAAATAAACAAACATCTAAGAAGCAGAGAACGCAGCCGCCAGCTTAACCTTGCTCCTGCCTTCGGAGATGCCAGACTGTTCTGTTTGCTCAGGACTCTCCTTTTACCAACATTCAATTTGAATGAGCCAGGGCAAACGCCCTGCTCGCCCCCGCCTGAGAACAGGATGCATTTATGTGAAACACGAGGAGAAAGCCTAATGCCCAGGCATCCTCTGCATTCCCAGGAGCTTTTATTACACAGCGAGCTTACATTTCATTGTCTGAGCCATTGCCAGAAGCCACTGCACTTCGGAGCACTGTGACTTGCAGTTCAAGTCCCACCCACATGGTCAAACCCGCCTGCAAGACCTCTGGACTCTGTGCTAAGCAAAGCCTGCTCTGACAAGCTCCCATCTGCACCCGGGATGCAGAAGGATCAGTGATATAGAATCAGCTGACTTTGCCAGGCTCCTCTTTTCCCTTTCAATCAGCAATTTTCAGGATGGGAAAAAATGAGCACCAGGTGTGTTGTGGTGTGTCAGCTTTATGCTGAGAAATAAGCGCTCCACGGTCCTTTATTAGAAATGGATTCATTCTAAATGGGCCACCAAAGCTTTTCCTTCACTGTTGGAGTAGTACATTGAGTACAGCTTAGTAAAAGGCCACTGGCCAAATGCGTGATGTTATGTAGCCTAATACATGCCAGCATTCATTCCACCTGATTAAAAGAACCTGCTCTCAGAAGCGAGGGAAAGTAGGTCTCTTGGTACTTTGACTTTTACACTTCCCCTCCCAGGCAGTGCACAGCTGATTGAGCTGCAAAGCCAATATGTTCCAGGGTTTATTTTTTTTTCTGTGGAATTGGCCCCGCTCTCTAGCAAGGTTTGGGAATTAAAGCCGCGTGGCTAACTCTCGCTATGCGCCTTTGTTCAGGCTTTTAGAACAGAATCCTGGCACAGCACCGATGACTTTTCTTAATCTTCTGCAACCTTTGAATTTGGATAACATGTAGTCAGGGGCAGCAGAAACAAATTTTGGGGACTTTTACATGGCGAGGTGAGGAGTTGTCACAGGTGCTGTGAGTTTAGCGAACATCACATCGGGGATGAAACCTGGAGAAGCGAGAGCAGTGTTTCCTTGAGAGCAGAATATTGTCACTGGGGTCTGACAATATTCTGCTTACTCTGCGGGCCCATAAAGGCAGGTTCCTGTACCCAGAGTTTGTGAGGATCCCAGGGAACTCATGCTAAACACACTCACCAGGGTATCTTGTATAAACCAAATTACAATTTATAATTTGTAAGTCAACCAAAACTTGATATATGACAGAGAAAATGTCAACACCCAGAATTTTATATCTACCTTTGATTCCCCTGTGCTGAGAAGCCTTTGGCAAGCCCCCATCCGCACCCAGGATGCAAAGGGAAAAGTGACATAGAATCATCTGACTCTGCTCATTATCCCCTATTTTTTGTGTTAGGCTTAGGTACTCAGCGGGTCGCTTACTATCACTGTGCTTTTTTTTAGAGTTCAGGTTTATAAAATAGCATCTTGGAAAAGAACAAATAGATATACCTCATCAAAAGCCAAATGCTAACATTGCAGGGTTACATTGCCTTTTCTGAAATTCTCCTAGAAACCATAGCCAATATGCCCTTTACACACTAAGATACTCTATGTGCAGGTGAACTTGCACATATGGATGTGTTCTATATATGTTGAAAGTATGGGAATAAATACCAAGTTATAAAGGTAAGTTATTCACATTCCATAACTCAATGGGAAATGCAAAGGATGCTTAAGATACTGTACAAAGAGTTGACAGTTCCGCTGTGCTATCGCTCCAGTCCTTCAAAAGTTAGAATAAAATAAAATGTAGTAGAGTCTGGGCTGGAGACATAGCACAGCGGGTAGGGCGTTTTGCCTTGCACGTGGCCGACCCAGGTTTGGTTCCTCCGTCCCTCTAGGAGAGCCTGGCAAGCTACCTAGTGTATTCTGCCTGCACGGCAGAGCCTGGCAAGCTACTCGTGACGTATTTGGTATGGCAAAAATAGTAACAACAAGTCCCCCAATGGAGACATTACTGGTGCCCGCTCGAGCAAATCGAAGAACAATGGGAAGACAGTGCTACTGTGCAGACAGTGCATAGTAGAGTCTTAAACAAGAGAGCACAAATTCAATGAAGTCCACGAATTCAATGTCTAATCTCAGTGTAAAGTTTGAAGAAGTATTGGAGGAAGGGAAAGCATCAGCAGTGATGGGGAGGAGAAGCAGATGCATATCTAAGCATCAATGATTAGGAAGGAAATTTTTTAGGCAAATGCCCCATGCTGCTCTCTCAGAAATTATTTCTAATTATGACTTCTCACAGCCTGGACAATTGAGGATGGCTTCCAACATTTCGGGGGGATATGGAAACAGCTGGTAGGAAACAGTGATTATAATTATTAGTTTAAAAACTCCTAATGGAAGACATTTAGCACGGATCAACCCATTTCTATATTCACTTATTCAGATAAGCATTTCCATGAGCTCTGCTCTGTGCTGTTAGTGAAGGGACACGGAAAGGAGTAATAGACCATGCCCCCTGGCCAGACGTGGCTCAGGGCATTAGCACTCGAGATGCCTTTCCCCATTTCTCAAAGAAATACTTCAGCCCGATCTCAAGAAAAGGTTAAACAGGATTCCAGACCTACCAGGAATATAGCTATGGTTCTATGCAGATGGCCCAAACTTCCCAAATAACTTGAGGAGAAAAGAAGGCAGCAAGTTTGCTTAATCACATATGTACCAATAGGAACACATTCAGAGTTGTCAGCTGTAGCAATCACAATTTCTAACCCCATGACCTTGGCCTTCTCGTGTTAGCAAAAATAGGGAGGTCTGCGTATATGCTGCCTAAGCCCATGTGCGGCTTGTGCCCACATGGCCAAGGACATGTGGCACCCGCATCTCCCCTCTTGAGATGTGGACTTTCACGCTTCCATATCTAATTCTGGGGTGTGTGTAGGGGCTCTCTCCACCTTTGGAGAAGCCTACGTTCTCTCTTGGGTATTTTACTCTCTCTCTCTTTCTCTCTCTCTCTTTCATTTTGCCTCCCTCCTCCCTTCCAAAACCTCCAATAAATTCTGTTTTACTTGAATAAATAAATAAAATGGGGGGGATCATTGGATCATCTAAGTGGGCCCAATGGAATCATCTGAACCCCAAAATGCAATAAAGTAAACAGAGAAAGGAAGTCAGAACGCCTTGAAGCCTGAGGAGGACTCACTGTGTCTTGTTTTATTGAAGGTAAAGGGACACACGTCAAATTCATTCCTACAACTGCAAAGAACTGAGTTTCCCCAACAAGCTTCGAAGAGCACTCAGGCTCCAGAAGCTGAGATCCACAGCCCTGGCCGTTACCTTGTTTCAGCCTCCTAAAACCCTAAGTAAGCAGAGTCCAGAAATGCCAAGCCAGACTTCTGATTTACAAACTTGTGAAAGAATTCGGGGACTGATGAAGTCACTGAGCTAGAGGTAGCTTGTTTCCAGCAATACAACATGATGCTTAAGGCCAAGGAACAAACTTCCTGTTTTAAAAACTGTCTCGATTCCTTTAGCTCATCCATGGGAAGGATAATACCTTCTGGTGCCAACGATGCCACTGGATGAACCAGTCAAGTCTAGAAAGGCCGTCCGTCAGGATAGGCTCACCCAGAGCCTGGAATGATGATTCTCAGATGGAGGGAGAAAGGGGCAACTATATTACAGGTCAGCAACATCGTGCAAGAGGCTGGGGATTCAGAGAGAAGGAAGGCAGTCTTCAAGGCTGATAACAAGGACAGCGGAGACTGGAAAACTGACTGGAAGCCAAAGCAGAATGAAGTGTGATTCTGGGAGAGGGGATCAAGTCATTCTTTCCATTTGGAGGCACAGTGGGGAGGCTTGGAGCCACAGGTGGTGTGAATACCTAAACTGCCAGCCCTGTTCTTGCCATTGCCCCAGGAAAACAATTAACTGCTATCAAGAGATCAACATTCTGTTTAAAGACCTGCACCCATCCTGTACTTACATAACTCTGCTAGCTCACTGCTCTCAATTCTCCCCCTTGCCTTTGTCATACCTGATCTTTGTTCATTTTGACGTTTTTTTGGGCAGTCGTTTGAAATTAAAAAAATTATTTACCTTTTGGTTTTTTTTTTTTTGCTTTTTGGGCCACATCCAGTGATGCTCAGGGGTTATTCCTGGTTATGCACTCAGGAATTACTCCTGGCGGTGCTTGGGGGACCATATGGGATGCAGGGATCAAACCCAGGTGGGCCATATGCAAGGTAAATGCCCTACCTGCTGTAGTATCACTCTGGCCCAAAATATTATTTATCTTGATGACACTTTTTTTACATGCTCTGAGCTCCTGCTTCTCCAGGGAATGCCTCACTTGCTTGTCTTCAGAGAATAACAGAGTTGGCAGGAGAAGGAGGTCATTCTAGCTCCACATGGATGAGTCTGGCATTGAACACTAGTAGAAACATTTCCCACTTGAACTTAGGCCTTTTCTTTTTTGGGATTTCTCTCTCACTGTTTTCTAGTCTTGAGATTCAGTCTAAGGTTCTGTAGATAACACAACATCTTTATGAGAGGGCAGTCTCCCTCTTCGAGTGATTAGTGGCCCCTAAGATGCATGCTCAGCCTTCTTTGCTTTAAGTCCGTTCAAAGTATTAATCTACTTTACTGTTAAATTAGACCATTTCTCTCTAGAAAATCTGCAGTGCTTCCATTCAAGACATCTAATACGCCTATTTAAAAAAAAGGGCGAATGGAATGAAAGGCTTTGTTGAAATTCACGGAGAGCTAAGTCAGAG